TAGAGTTGATGTGAGAAAACCCGATGGTGGCAGAACTACGTACAAGTACGAACTTTTCACGTCTCGGTTGTATGAGGTAGGTGTGCGAGAAGAATATAAGACAGCTTAATACAATCAGCCTACCTGTGGGTTTCCGGGAGTCGGGGTCTTTGAGCACCTTGATATCATCTGCCACGCCATCACTCATAGATTTGACAGTCTTCAGTTTATGTGGGTGTTCGGTACTATCTGTACCTTGAACACTGGTGACATCCAAGGTATCCATATCCATCTCCTCCCCTTCGCTCATACCTTTTGAGCTCATGACTGACAATGTTCCCATTCTCATCTAGCATTTACACTTTTCAAGACTTACTGTTATGAGGTTATCAAGTCAGTCTCAATATATGTACAATTGTAATAAATATACTACACGACGCAAAGGAACTCGATTAGTATGCACGTCTTATAAATAAGTGATGAATATCAGACCAAAACATAAATAAACAAATAATATTTATAAAAAAAATCTGTGATCCGTAGCTACGGCAGAAAACCTGGTTGCATGCATTCCATGGTTTTTGTGGCTAGCAAGAAAAACTAGCCATAACAGAGAATTCTAATTGGCTATATTCTAAATTATATGGCATCAACTTTTTTCGCCCCTAAAGTGTGACTCATTCTTCACCAATAAAAATATCGATAGCAATAGCTCACATTGCTGTAGATTATCTTGATAAAGAGACTGCGAGTATATAATCACAACAAAACAACAAAATGATCAGTGATGCACAGCGCTGCAATCGTGCTGATAGTAGGTTGGGACAGCTCTTTAAAGTGGTACAGAATTGGACAGTTCTCTAAAGTGGCAGATGTTTGAAAGCAGACATAAGAACAGTACCACTAGCACTGTATGTTGCGTATCCGAAGGCGACGGCAGCGTCACGAGCACTTTTCCCGCATGTGTACTTCCAAATAAAAGAACTCAGCATGAGCCACATATACTGCTAAGATTTCAGGATTTATTATGATGCTGTTCATATATGCGTAGCAATTCTTATGTCAAAATTATGACGCTCGCAATACTGAACCCTTCTTTTTTGCATGCGGGACAATATCTGTATTCATCGCGCTACTGGCAAATGCAACGATACTAGCTGGAGCAGGACTACTTTTTGAATGACTGCAAGGGCTTAGACAGTTAATGAGGATACTCTAATGTGGACTAGGGGACATCTCACTGTGACACCAGTAACAACTATCGACAATATAGGGGTTACAGGGCGCAGAACATCTTTGCGATACGTATTTGTACAACTTTCGACCGACCTTGTAGCGATATATCAATCCTGTAGTGCCCAAATTTCGCCTGGCCTTCCTACTACTTCATAAATACATGAACATTTTGAAACCCCCGAGATACAACTAAAGTGCTCCGAGATTCTTATATCAGGTGTTACAACAGCAGCCCGCTTATGCGTTGCACTAATGTGTGAATATAATAATACTATTCGCAGACGCCTCATGATACATAGCCCGGCTACTGCGTCTGGTCGTGCGATGTCTTTGAGCGAGACTGATCGTGTGTCGCATCATCCGTTCCCATCCGTCGCTTTCGCGATGTATTTTCATCCTCAGCAGGTGGCCTGCACGTGATAGTATATGTAAATCAATACCATTCAATATATAAAGAGTTCGGATACACTACACAATATAAACTCCGGTAGGTGACTGGTGAGAAATTTCGAAGTATTTTAAGTGCTATTCTCGATATTTGCCGGATTGTATGATCTGTTTACTGTATTGACTACAAGCCTATGAGTACCATCACCGGATGATTACATCCCACAGCTTATTCCAAAGCTGGAATTCTTCCCCGGTTCTAACTTCATAGGGGTGCGTGAACAAATGGCGTTATACACACATGCATATATAGGCTGACTAAAGGCGAAACTGCACTTAGGCCACTGTCACTCAGAAGCTCAACAACTTCCACAACGTGTAGCGACGACAAACATAGACTTAATCGACTGCCAGTCGGTGGTGTGCTCAACATAGCAAAAAAAGGAAAGGCATCTTTGCACGAAGACAAATTGTTTATATATGTATATGTATACGTATATATATATATATATATATGACAAACGCAGACAAACACAGACACAGACACACATATACAGACTCAGATACGGCCACAGACAAAGACTCCGACATATATATATATGTATATATATATATATATAT